AGTCACTACTGATACAAATAATGTGGCTTTGAATTGAGTTACTGTCACTTTATTTAGACAACATAAACTTGTTCCTCTCACATCCGTTTGTTTTTTTCTCTGTAGACCTAATATGTCGTAATAGGTTCAATGTCATGTGAAAATGTGTTTTGTCTGTTCCTGACAGGGGTAATTCAAAATACCACTACTATGGCCTGAGGATCAAGGCAGGATCATCTCTTCTCCGTCTGATGGAAGACCAGCAACATCTGGCCATGAGGCAGCAGCCCTTCTCACAGAAACAGAGGTACACACATAGTTTACACTACTGGAACCATTTCTCTGCTTTCAAATTTTTTCCTCTCTCCATTTTCTGTATATGGCTGCATCACTGACTCATGTTTTCTGCCCATCTCGCACACTGTTTATGTTCCTTTAAAAATCCTGTTGGAGTTCCAAGCAACTGTTATTGTTAATATGATGAAACTTAAATGTTACTTCTTTTCCCTTTAATACTTATCTCTCTTTTTGCAGAATTTTATTTATCTGGGCTGTCTCATGTAGCTAACTACTTGTTCCCACCAGGTTGAAGCCTGTGCATAAAGTGGAAGGAATGACAAATGGCACAGCGTCAGGAGCAGGCCAACAGCAGCAGCAGCAACAGGGGTCAGGGCATGTGGACATCAGCACCCAGGTTCAACAGTACCAGCAGTTCTTAGGTGTGTTCAGTGAACAAATAGGAATGTAGTAATGGCTCAATAAATGTGATTGATTGATTGATGGTACAGTATTATTGAAAACACAACACATACAACATGTAAATACGATGTCATAAACAGGTAATGCAGATTTCTCTGTGCACTCTCTGAGTGTCCTGTTTTCTCGTTTTCCTTTGTTTCAGATGCGTCTAGATCTCTACCAGAATTCCCAGATATCGACCTTCAAGGGAAGTCTCTGCCAGAGGGCATCGAACTGGAGCACATAAAGAGCTTTCAGCTGCTGTACAGAGAGCACTGTGAGGTAAGCAGCTGAAAGGACACTGGTGAAAATAAATGTGACTTTAATGGTGTAGGTAACTGGATGTTTAATGGAAAAAGGAAAGAACAAATTGTTTGACACTTCAAGTTCTCAGCCAACATCAAACATGAAGTCCAGCAGTTAAGCATTGTTGGATGAGATCTTTTTGTTTGTTCTTTCAGGCCATACTGGATGTGATGGTCAACCTGCAGTTTACCCTGGTGGAGACACTGTGGAAGACCTTCTGGAGATTCAGCCAGAGCCAGGCTGGAGATCCCACGTTGGCTGTGTGAGTGGTTAAATCATTAAAGCAAACATCCAGAATTCAGTTTCCGTCCCTGTGGAAGTAGCAGTACTACTTTCATACAAACTGTGTGTGTGTGTGTGTGTGTGTGTGTGTGTGTGTGTGTTTGTGTGTCTTGGCAGTCATGATGAGTCAGAGAAGCGTCTCCCTAAGTCCTGCCTGGTGTTGCTGTGCAAGTATGAGCCAGTGCTGCGCTGGAGCCGTGACTGTGATAACAGCCTGTACCAGGGCCTGGTGGAGATCCTCATCCCTGATGTCCTCAGGCCCATCCCCAGTAAGGCCCTATAATAAGTATGAATATGCATATTACACCTTGACTTCCCTGCTCTAAAAGTGACCACACAGAAATACCAGTTACTAATATATGATTTGAAATCCACCAAGGCCCAACTGTCCCCTTATGAAACCACATTTAAGTTCACTAGATCAAGATCAAGCACAACCTCCTTGGCGGAGGTAATGAGAGAACAGAGGTCACCCGAACACTTCACATGTAATCTAGTTTTTTTAATGGGTTCTTCCTTGGGTCATGCCCCATCTCACCTCAAAATTTCATAGAAATTAAATTCTATATGATACATATATATTCTACACAATACAGGACATGACCAAGAAATCTGTCCTGCAAATCCTTACTCCACATGATAATCATTGACCCAGGCCCATTCTCAGGCAATTTGAAACTGAAATGATCAATATTAAACTTTCCTTTCTCTTCTTCCTCCTGCTCCCAGGTGCCTTAACTCAAGCCATCCGTAATTTTGCCAAGAGCCTGGAGAGCTGGCTGACCAATGCCATGATGAACATCCCAGAGGAGATGGTCCGAATCAAGGTACATTCGCCTTGTTTTTAGCTTGTAGTTGGTGGAGCATGGAGCAAGCTGCTTGTAGACCGCTACAAAAGAATACATATGTGAAATAAGTGCAACCTTATTTCTCTTTGAGGATTTCTCTGAGCATAATAATCTTTGTGAGTAGTTAATTGCTTTTTCTAAACAAGTCTCACAGTGTAAATGCTAAAACTGACTTCTTCACCAGGATTATTTATCCTGGCAAAGTTGTTGAATAAAGACTTGTAACACATGATTATTAACATGGAACTGCTTACAAAGACCTAAGTACTAAAATAACCCCAGAGCTGGTAGATGTGGTCATTTGCAGAGTTATTTGCGTGTTCCCAGGCTATTGAACGAAAGCGTGTGTATTTTTTTGATATCTGACCCATCATTTCATCATTTGCATAATGTGCTTTCTCAGGTAACTTCAGCCAATGCGTTTGCTCAGACACTGCGTCGCTACACCAGTCTGAACCACCTCGCCCAGGCGGCCCGCGCTGTCCTCCAGAACACAGCTCAGATCAACCAGATGCTCTCGGACCTCAACCGCGTGGATTTTGCTAACGTCCAGGTCGGTTTAGTCTCTGGGTGCTGTGTGCTGGCAGCATTCATTTCCCCTCTCATGGATTTCAGTGTTGTGAGGTTTCTGTGACAACCATGCTTTTCTTTTCAGCAACTTCCTCTTCAGGAAATGTCAAACAAGCTTTCTGTGTCATTTCTCAGAAACGCTCTTTCTCTTTCCTTCTGTCGTGTTAGCTGGTAACATGTAACTCTTTATAGCTTTGCCCTCCCTCTTCTGTTTAAAGTGTACCCTTTTTAAGCATTAAGTCATCCAGCAGACCCTGCACCCTTTACCGATGCAACTAATAGCACATGTGACAGCCGCATACTGACACACTGACCCGTCCTGTCCGCCATTTGCAGGAGCAGGCTTCGTGGGTGTGCCGGTGTGAAGACCGTGTTGTCCAGCGGCTGGAGCAGGATTTCAAGCTGACCCTTCAGCAGCAGAACTCCCTGGAGCAGTGGGCTGCGTGGCTGGATGGTGTGGTTTCCCAGGTCCTAAAGCCCTACCAGCACAGCTCCACCTTCCCTAAGGCCGCTAAGCTCTTCCTGCTCAAGTGGTCCTTTTACAGGTGTGATGGGAAAGCAGATTTTGGAATTTCAATTTTAGGGCCAGAAAGTTTATGAGACCATTAATACATTATCCAAGGTATTGAAGACATCACAATGGGAAAGGTTAAATGTTTTTTCTGCCATTTTTTCTTATATTTCATAGACATAACATAATGGTAGATTAATATATAGTGTGAACAGTTGTTAGTTGCAGCCCTGCTAATAAAATAGCCAAGATAATTCTTTGCATCAGTTTAGCTGCACATTTTTATCTAAAATAAGGGATTTGAAGTAAATGAGTGAAATTCAACATTGAAATCAGTGGAGGTCGTTCTTTATTTTCTAAACTTTGTCAAAGTGAAACACTTAGAAGTACTTCCTGTTTTTGGTGAGAGAATATATGTGTAGTTCCTTCATTCCCTTCATTCCCATCGTCTCTGCTCTCCAGTTCCATGGTAATAAGGGACTTGACCCTGCGGAGTGCAGCAAGTTTCGGTTCCTTTCACTTGATCCGCCTGCTCTACGATGAGTACATGTACTACCTGATAGAGCACAGAGTGGCCCAGGCTAAAGGAGAAACGCCCATCGCTGTCATGGGAGAGGTACCATCACACACACAAAGACACACAACTGAAATAAAAAATGTAAGCCATACTAACAAATTCAATTTTTACTTATAGTTTGCCAGTTTAGGTCGGGGTCTAAACCAGCTGGATCCTGACAAAGGTACTTCCACTCTTCACTGTATCTCGGATGTACTATGATCACGTTCCAAGCATTTTTTCTAACCAGCTGCTTTACCCATGTCTATGCCAGAAGAGGAAGAGGAGGAGGAGGAGGAGAGTGACGAGGAAGGTCAGGAGCTGTCCCTTCCCTCAGATGGGGTCGTGCTTGGAGAGGAGTCTCTGGAGCCGCCTGCTAAGCTGGCCAGAACTGACCAGAGAGTCCTCTTCACCACCGGATCAGCTGACAACTAACCACAGAGTAACACTGCTAGATGTGGGCTGATTATATTAATCATACACACACACACAGACACTTAAATGTACAAAGAACACTAATTTATACACTTGACACATGTATATAGATCTTGTAAATGTGTGTGCACACCCTCGCTGCATACTGTAACTGTCCCACTTGTTTACACACACAAACACTCACACACACGCACAATCAAACCACGCTTATTCAGTAGCTGCTGCTGCCTGAATGGCACGACTACCTGTTGGCACCATTAATTCATTACAAAATCATGGCTCTGCAACAGGATGTGGTTTCAAAAACCAGACTCAATGCAAAGAATAACAAGTATTTTCACCCTCAGTCGTACCAATTTCTGAAAGATTAACTCAAAGCCAGGCGTGTTATTTCTTTCCTCATTGTATTTCAACCTGTAGCCTTGCTGAGAAACATCTGCTCACTCTGGATCCTCCTGAAACCGTCACTGCCGTATCAAAGTGATCTTGAAAATACTGTGATGTGTGTGTGTGTGTGTGTGTGTGTGTGTGTGTGTGTGTGTGTGAGTGTGTGTGTGTGTGTGTGTGTTTGTGAAAGTAAATTCTAGAGGGTGTGGGTGGGGACCTTTTACAGTCAGAGGTTGCTGAATTTAGTTACTAATTCATTCAAAGAAAAACCACATTTGTAAAAGAAAAGGTGGTTGGGATTATGTGTGTCAGTGTGAGGGGTCACACCCCTCTGCTGTGACATCTGGAGGCTGACTGATTATTGCTTTTGTGTGTGTGTGTTTCTGTGTCTGATAGTGTGATTGTGAGTCACGCCAGTGTCGACTGGTTTCCTCTGTAGATATTTTCTAAGGCTTTCAAATGTTCTTGATTTGGGAGACGTGTAGATTCTCTGTTTGATTTTATTTGCCTGTAAAGAAAACATTGTCGTGTTCTTGGAGTGCCTGTCACGGCTGCTACACACACTTGTAAAGATAAAACTATGGCTGTGGAATAGGGGCTCTCATTAGTTGCTGCAAAAAAAATCCTTTCTCTTTTATTGAACCTCTTGTTCCTCAAGAGAGGTACTGTATGTGTCATATATTTAAAGTGCTTCATTCCTGTTCATCTACTAAGTTCCTGTGTTGCCTCATTTTTCTTTGAAATATCATGTTCTTGCCTTATTTTGATGCATTTTTCCACGTGTGCCAAACCTGTTTACTTTGATCCCAGATCGTGTAATTTATGAATTTTCTCTCTTTGTCTTAAGGAGGACTGTGCCTGAGTAAGAACGGTGATATACTTATATTCTACTGTATATTTATCCACTATTTTGAATTATGTTGTCACTAAGTGAACCTCTCGTGCCGTGTATGGTGCTGTGTTGTCACACATTGTCATCAGCCTTTGTGTGCTTTATTGATTTGTGGTTGTACGTTCAGTTAGCGATCCTGTCTCACACCTTTATGACTTTTCCACAAACCCTGCCTCTTTGCACACATTGATTGTTGTCTTTAAAGCTCAGAGAGAGTTCATCTTTTTTCAATATCATTTCCGTGTTTCTTTCGATGGTGTGCATATGTCAGGTTTCTCACTATGCTCAGTGTGGTTCTAAGAATTTGGCGAGGGGAAATATCTGTTTGCTCTCCCTGCACAGTCCTCCACTGAGGCTCATCTCCCTCTGCGATTCTGCCCTCCCGCCAATGGCTTTGTTTTGCTTCAAACATCCATGTTCTTAAACACTGCTCATCGAGATTGGTTGTTGCAAACATTTCATTTTTCCTGATTTGAAATACACACATCTTGAAATTGCTGCAGTGCACATCTTTGACGGGCTACGCCAGCCTCAAACCAGCACATCATCCTCACATGGAGTCTAATGCTACCACAGCAGTACAGTACATATCACTCCAGTCTTTTAAGGAACAGCATTTAGAATGGCCATTGTTTACCCTGTAAGACAAATGTTTAGTCGTTTCTTTTTATAGTTTATTGTTTCTAATGTACAAAACAAACTGAGAAAAAAAAGATGTTCAGTGGCAGTGTTTTATGAATTTGGTCTGCTCTAAGTATGACTGTGCCTTTGGAGGTGGTAGAATGCAATTCAGATGTTTTTAATTTTAAAGATATAAATTAAAGAATTTTTAAAATTGCACTTGCGTCCCCTGCTGTCAATTTTATTTTTCTCACTGTCAAGTCTCAACATACATCACGGTGTTGTAATCTGGCTGAAAGATGAGACTGGCATGGTTTCTGACACACAGCGGCCACCCGCTTCTTCTTTACTGTGTAAAACACATCATGACTTCCTGGATTGTTCTCACTCACACTGTCACACACTTGTCTGTGGCGGCTTCTGCTTCAAGAGTGACAGTGGGACAGATGCCACAAAACCTTCAGTCAGCTTTATGAAATAACCATCAGCTTGCTTGTCCTGGAGTTACTAACAAATCAATTGTGTTTTCATGCAAATTGGGAAATTTGTCAGAAAAACAGATCAAAGTTGATATAATAAAGTAAAAAATACACAATGTTGTTTTGTGATTCTATTGAGTAGTTCAGTTACCCTTTTTAAAAAGATGGATGATCTTTGGTATCTTTTTTTGTGTGAACAAAGACGCTTTCATCATCTTTGCATTCGTTTTATAGAATCTGCTGACGTGCAAGCAGGATGAATACAACAAGACAAAAGAAAATGTTCACACATTTAAAGTAATTGACATATGCCCCATTTTAATTCAGAGTATTGCTGCTGGTGGTCATTTATTAACAATATCAACACTGTTGCCCAGAGGGAGGCGCTCAGAGTACAAGAATCATACCTGATACCGACAGTCAAATTCAACAGCTTTTTTCTATTGCTGAATATATGTACATATGTAATATAACTTGAAATGGGACAAACTGGAAGACAAAATGTTGTTATTTTGCACACAAACGACAGCTGTGTGCTAAACAATCATCAGATTCTCATTGACATTCTTCAAACTAAACAAACAGTTCAAAGCAATAACATGCAGCCTCAAGTGGATGGTTTCAATGTTGCCATATGCAAAATATTCCCATTGTAGACCTACAGAGGGCGACAGAACCTCTGCATCACTACCTGAAAAAGACATATGCAGTTGCTTCAAGGTGAAAACCCACCATAAGCATATGTTGGCTTTAAAAGGCCTGACAATCTCTAGAGTTCTCCAAGTAATATAAAACACAAAGCTGAGCAAGTTGTAAATCTTTTTTTCTTAGCATCTTGGCCCTCCATCCACAGTAAGCCGGCATTTTTTTGTTTCTAACCCTAAATGGATATTTGAAGATGAAGTAAAGGTGCATAAAAACTACAAAATGAACAGAGGGAAGCAAAAATGGCAAAATGACCCAAACATATTTTCATCCAAAGCAAAAATTAAGCATTACCTTAAGATTGTTCTTTCCTTCAACCAAAAGTAATTAAAGAAACCTTCTACAATCTTTGAGCACATAGTATTTAGTCCAACAGTCTTCAAAGTAAAACCTCTTAAATCCTGATTTCTATAATCATTATTATTCATCCCACAAGCACAAAATAACATTGTAGAATTCAGTTTTTACTCAGTACAAAAAATATTGTTAGGAAACTGAATAAGAAAAACTGATTCACAACAATAAGCAAACAAATTAGCTTTAAAAAGTATTTCAGTGATTTCTTACTTTACCAAATACACAAGGTGATTGGAGTTTTAATAGCTCTGTGCATTTCAGTAAATATACCACTGATATATAAAGATTAGGGGCTTAAAATGAGACTTAGTTTTCTTATGGATGATAATAAAAGATATATGAGATGGATGTATTGGCGTTTCAAGGCTTCCATTGTTTATAATGGCATATGTAAATGTATGTAGAGGTTTTAAAAAGCTGCGTGTCCCTGCCGTGATGGCATCATCAGTCTTATCCCTTCCCTCAGGAGCAAAGCACGAGAACGTCTGCTCGGTTCACATTTTTATTAAAAAGCAAGTGATGTTTGGTGGTGGGGAGGATTTGGACTTTCACTTGGAACAAATAAAAAATGAAAACAAAATAAAACTTAACAGCATAGATCTTGGCTCAAAGTTCGGGGTTGTCCTCCTCATCCTGTCTTCTTGATTCTCTCCAGGTTGAGACTTTCTGCTATGAACTCTCACTGCGTCTAAAACGGTTGAAACCATGGAAAGTTCAGCTTCTTACAACATATTGCAAAGTGAATGACTTTTAAAAATGAAATCTCTGATGACACTAAAGAAACATATTGAAAACCTTGCTGCAGCCTCTGTACCAACCTGTCCTTGCTGGGGAGGGGCTGGCTGCCCAGGAGTCTGTCCTGTCGGTCCATAGTACGCAGCCTGCTGCCTGTAGTACTCGGCCCAGGCTGCGCTATAGTCCGGCTGACCTCCCGTTGTGGAGGCTGCTGCCCCTGCTGCTCCTGGAGCTGCGGCTGCAGACCCAGGGACGGAGCCACCTGTCTGGGCTGTGGATGAAACACATAGGAAACCCAGCTCACAACAAAGCTCATTCTAAGTTTATCATGCAGAACTAAAAACAGTTCACCTGTGGAATAAACAAAAATGTGTCCCACATCCACACCAGACACCAGATAAATAAGCAAGATACATAAATAATATAATTTAAAAATGTTTACATTTTGAGTGTGCAGCAAATATAAAATGTATGAATAAATATATAAAAAATGTAGATATTTAAGTGCTAATTAAAATGTCTCACCCATCTTCTTGTAGTACTCCTCCCAGGCCTTGGTGTAGTCTGGCTGCCCCCCTGGAGTCTGTGCGGGCTGGGTCTGGTCGGCTGATGTTTGGGCTCCTCCAGTTGGGTTTGCAGGGTACTGGGTCGGCACAGCCCCTGACGGCTGCTGGTAGTACTGAGCATAGTAGGCCGCCCAGGCTGCGTTAGGGTCATTGCCTGCTGCCTTGCCTAGAAAAGACGCAGGGTGGAGGGGGTGAGGTCCTCATAGGGTGAGGGTGAGCCCCTGCTACTGGCCTGGAGACCGGGCTTGGAGACCAGGGGGAAAACAGAGACAGTGTTAGCCAGAACTGCTTTAAGTACAGAAACTGCATCTCAACACAACATTTTCCATCCTTTCCATCCTTTCCACCTTTCTCAGTTTTCGAAAAAAAGATTACTCATCAGAAAGGACTAGGAGGGATAAAAAATAAAAAAAAAGACCTAGGGTGAAAATATTGTGTTGGGGGTGATAAGTTTAATGTGCTAAGATGGGTAAAAATAAATGATAACCCCTGGAAACTCAGGAAGGGCAGTGAATTCAAAGGGGACTCACTGGGGTCGTGGGATGCCTGGGGCTGCCACTGCTGGTAGGTGTTGCTCCAGCCCTGAGGACTGTACTGGTGAGGACCTGGAGGACCACCACTGAGGAGAACATGTTTTATTATTAACATAGATGCTCTAAAAGGTCTGCTGCTCAGAGCTAATGATACACACAAGTTAAAGCTACACTTACTGTGGTGGTCCAGGGGCCCCAGGCGGTCCAGGGTTGTATGGGTTGGGGTTGTAGGGACCCACTGGACCAGCAGGACACAAAGGACCCTGGGGGACACGACATAGTCACAAATCATATGAAGATACATGCCCATGCATCATAATGGCTTCTCATTCAAAAAGTACACACAAAAGGATTTAAGGTATGTACTTCAATCTTTTCCTCAATGAGCTGCTTGGCGTGGTCGATCTGCAGCGGTGAGCCCCTGATGATGAACAGCTTGAAGTTGGGGTCTCCGTTGGGGGGAGGCTGTCGTGAGATTTCCACAAATGCCCCTGTCTGCTGGTTGATGGACTTGACATTCTCTCCTCCCCGGCCAATCACTAGCCCACACTTGTGGGCAGGAATAGAGAAGGTCACTTCCCCTCCTGGGGGACCCCAGCCGCCTTGTCCGCCACCTCTGCCCCTGTTGCCTGCAGGCATGCCTGGAGGACCAGGGGGACCCTGTGGATGGAGGAGAAGGCCTCATTATTCAAAATGTTCTCTCTAGGAATGTACATAATTATACTGAATGACACAAATAAGATATAGTTTGGGGATAGTTAAGAAAGTTAAAGTGTGTTTCTGCTTTAGTTCAAAAGCTTAAAGGAGTCCAGTTAGGACCATTAGTTTGTTTTAGAGCGAGACATGTGTGTGTGAAAGAGTGATCCATACCCCCTGTCCCTCCTCCCTGACCCTGATGCTCTGCAACAGGTCGTTGATGATCTGGGCGGCATGTTCGCAGCAGTCAGGAGGCCCACTGATGTGTGCAATCTTATCTGGACCTGTCCCATCATCTGAGAGAAGGATTTAAGTCTGCATTAGCTGTTGTTTTTTTTTTTACATTAATTAAAACAATTAATGCGACAGTCTGTCGAGCTGAACTGACAAAAAAATATTTGACTTGTTCCAAGTGGTCAAAAATGCATCCAACATTTTTTAAATGTTATATCACTATAATGTGGATTTTTAACAAACATAATTTCACCCATTATCATCAGAGGATCCAACCTTGTTTGAACTGTATCCGAACTCCAGCATCATTCTGGATTTTCTTGATCATTTCTCCGTTGCGTCCAATGACAACACCGACTGAGTGTCGCGGTACTGGGATCTGAGTTTAAAATATAAATATTTACAGTATAAACTTAGATTTGATTCAGTGGCAACTGATTTCATTTCTAATCACACACACACACACACACACACACACACACACACACACACACACACACACACACACACACACACACACACACACACACACACANACACACACACACACACACACACACACACACACTGACATCCATGCCACCTCCCATTCGGGAGCTGAAGTCATTTCGTTCACTGAAGCCGGCGTGATCTCTCTCCCTTAGAATCTCCTCCACCATTTCCTGAGCTTGCTGAAAAGGATAAATATGAGAATTATATTACATAGCCAATTCCATTTATTTTGAACTTTGTAAGATGATTTAATTGTTTTACCTGGACTTTGTATGGATCTCCAATAATACGCAGGGGTTTGTCAACATTAGGTCCCTGAGAGGCATCCTGGATCAGGATCATCTTTACTCCTGCACGCTCCTGGGGTGTCACACAGACAGACGGACTTTTATAGGCCTTTACTGATACTACTGGATTATTTTGTCTGACTTTATTTATAAACCTTTTTCAAAAAACAAGCTACACTGCAATATTGGGTACACAGAGGCCAAGATAATTACAGTTTCCTAAAATGCTAAGGCGGAGCCATGAAATGTACCTGTAGCTGTTTGATAGTCTCTCCTCCCTTGCCAATGACAAGGCCGGCCTTGCCAGCTGGAATCATCATCTCATGAACAGTGCCATTCTGCCCATTGGTAGACTCGTGATAAGAAGAAGGGGGTGTGCCCCTCCCTCGTGACACTATCTCATCCAACAGCACCCTAGCTTTCCTAGCCAGAGAAGATTTGAGCAGTTACTCCACATACATTTTACAACATCAAGCTGATGTAACAATACATCACGTAATATAATGAGGCAATGGGTCATTATAGATAACCAGTTAAAAATGACAGGATAGAATGGGGCTTAGAGCTTCATCAAAAGTAAGAAAAATTACATGTTCTTATCCTCCCTCCAAGTCTGACTTTTTTTTTTACAAAATAAATTGATAATAAGCCAATTAGCAAAAAATCAAAAAACTTACTGTATCGAGTCCTGGGAACCAGTGAGAGAGACACTCCTCGCTGGAAGGCCTCCACTGTCTGGACACACAGATAAAGGACATAAGTGACACCAAAAGGAGAACTAAATTTAAAATGGAAAACTATGGCTAACTGTTTGGACATCTGTGCAGACAGTACCTGGAGCTATCTGAACCTTGCAACCTGACTCCTGTTGTATTTTATTGATCTGTTCACCTCCACGGCCAATAACTGTGGAGGAAGAGAGGGAAAAAAAATATATATGTCCTGTTTGGTAGGTCACACTCTCGACAGTCTAGCTGTGTCTCATATCACAGAGACAGTGTGGCATTAATGTGGGTGAAAACAAGAGTTAAACTACACTCACTGAGTCCCACCATGCTGTCAGGAACATTGTACTCCTCCGTGGTGGAAGCAGGCCTTCATGAGCAAGGACATCAACAACGGTAAGATTTAACTTTTTTAAATTTCATTTTGCCACATTTTGTTTTTCCCCACAGTCAAAAGCTGACAATGGCTAATTATTTTACAACCAACTTAAAGCTATCAGCTCTCACCTTTGTTGCGCAAGAGCAGCAAGCTGTGCACCAATAGCTGAGAGGTGACGGCAACAGAGAGAAAAAGAGAGATGTTCTGGATTACTAGTGTCGACAGATAAGGATAAAGGAGAAAACTACTTAAACAGGAGTACTGAAGTCTTGAGGTACTAGAAGTCTATATTAAATATTGTCAACTTTGAGTTGTAAACATCACCATGCAGTCAGTAAACACAGCACAACTTTGTGGGATAAACTCACATAGTGCCTTTGCTGAATCCAAGTCACTTTGTGCAGCCAATTTCTTACTCTCTGGTTCATCTGTCAAGTGAGAGAAGACGCCGCATAACTGCTTTAAAAATATCTTATGCACCTAAATACATCATCAACCAAGAAACAAAGAGGTGATGTGGCAGTGAGGTCACTGCTACCTGCATCCTCCAGCTGTCGTTTCGGTGCAGTGAATGGAAAGCCATCTGATGCAGCGTTGTTGTTCACGGGAGGACCAGCATCACCCCCAATCTTAGCTGCAATCTGAAGCACAAGTGTATAAGTCACCATCATCAGAAACACTGATATCCCTTTTCCAACAAGGCAGTTCAAGGGCCAGCTCAGGTCCAAAGAACTGGCTCTTGGACAGCAACTTAGATGCAATAAACAGTAACGCAGAGCAATGGACTATGAAAGATCAACCAAAACAATGTTTTTAAAAAGGTCAGCAATGAAGAATGCATATTTTTTTAAATTATGGTTGCCAAAGCGAGGCAGTAGTGGTCAATGGAGGAGACAAACTGTCTGCTAGTTGTGTGTTCATCAGCTGAATGGCAGAAAAAACTAGAGGGAGCCTCACAGACAAAGCCTGTGTTCATGCACACTATACAGCCTTTATCTAGCACTAATGTACACTACAGTATATAACTACAATATGTACAGTGTGCATTCAGGACATATAGTTGTTATGGACCTAACATTATTCAATTATTCTATTTCATTTATTTTATTAGCCTCATAGAGCTGGGCAATAAAGGAATATCTACAGTCATTGCAATATAATTTTCATAAATAGCAATATAACAATATATTTATATGTAAAAACAAACTGAAGAAAAATCAAATGAAGGGAAAGAGAACAGGAAGTAAACATACAAAAACGTGGAGGTCATGATGGAGCCTCCAGTAAATCTTGTCTTGTGTTGTCTGACTTTATGGAGGAGGACTAGATCATTTACAGGAAACAACCACATCACAGGTAGTTTGCTGACATTGATTCATTAGTTTAGAGTAAGCTAATAAACTTAAATGACCACAATCTTAATTGATTTCTGTCTGCACAGCCCACTTATCACTGCAGGTTGACACACGCCACAGTGTTTTAGCTGAGGAAGTGACTTTATCGTACTGTTATCACACAGCAAACCAGAACATGTGTGAAAACATGAAGCTGTGTTAGCCCACAAGCTAACAGCTGAGCTAACCCTCCGTCCACACAGCCCCTCTCATCCCTCACCTGCCGGGCCCGCTGCACCGCGTCCGCGAACGCATCTTTCTTGATGCCCGCTGCACCGTTCCCTAGAGCCGCCTGTCCGCCGAGAGGAGCCCCGGAGCCGGGGCCGGGCGGCGGAGCCGTGCTGTACTCCGACATGTCGACCAGATGAAGGGGTGAGTATAAAAGAGACGCGGGGCCACAGCGACGCAGGAGTGGGAGGGAAAGTGAAGAAATGGACGGAGAAGCGCTGGAGACTCGAGTAGAGGTCGCTGTCACTTTATCCTCCCCCCTGTAAACGCGAGTCCAGACGCCATCTTTGTTGTGGGCGGAACTACGTCAGCGGAAGACGGGGGGGGGGCTCGCCGTTCTCCCCCGTGATTGGCGGAATCGTCCGATGCCAAAGGTCACGCGTATTTTGGCGCTCTTCGTCCACGGCGGTTCTGGCGCGTTTTTGAAAGCGCACGTCAAGAAACACGGACTGTGGATTCCCACTCGGAACTGTTCGGGTAAAACGTTCTTCTAACGCCAGCGTCCACGCACCGCCGGCACCCCGACATGTTTGGGTCAGTGTCGGGAGCTGCGTTGAAAGGAGCGTCCGGTGAAGTGTAGCTAGCTTGTTGTTGTTGTGGTTTGCAGTGAAGTTTGTGTGGAGACGAGCCGCCTCACAATGGACGTGTCCTCGGTTAGTGGCTGAGACAAGGAGACAATTCTCTGGAGCTGCAGCGACTCAGCGGCTCTGCACCATCGGTCAGTGTTTTCCTCTCCCTGTCTGAGCGTCAGGAACAATGTGTCTCGTTACTTGTTGCCCCCGAATGATCCAACACTTTAAATAATGCTGCATATAAGCATGTTTATGTCTCACAGTTTACTAAACAGGACTATAAGTACATGAATAATCTGTATCTGCTTCATTGTCGTCTTCTCTTTGCTCATAGTACTTATTCTGTAGTCAGTTTTTTTGCTGTATGTCTATTTGTGTAAGTGTAATTAACACCGGAGTCAAATTCCCAGTATGTGTACACATACATGGTAAATAGAGCTGGTTCTGTTTCGTGTTTATGTGTCAGATACAGTCGCTGATGAGTAAAGAGTAAGCAATGAATGTTTGGAGTGTTTGTTGATGCACAAAAAGAAAATCGTGTGCAATGATATGAATTATTTTATGTGCAATATCCCATATTACTCTTTATCATTACTACTTATTGCCATATTTCTTTAGTATTAGTTTTACTGTCTTGTGTAACTTGCTTATTTTATTCTCATTTCTGTTGTTATTTCTATTAGGCACTGGTTCTGCAATTCTCTGAATTTACAATACACTTTATACTCTAATTCTTATGTTCACGTTTATTTTTAGACTTAATGCTATATTGTCCTTTTCTATTATGTTATATATTGTAGATAGATAGATGCTGTAATCTTGAAGCAAGCTGGCACAATAATTTCCTTCAGGATTAATAAATCTTATGTTTAGGTGATAACTAGCAGGTTGTTTTGGAGGGAAGTAAGGGATGAAGGTCAATTACTGATGGGTAGAGACTGGACAGACTGATAAGGAAGTCCAGCTTGGTCCTAGGATACCCCCTTGACACAGTGGAGGTGGTGGCAGAGAGGAGAATGATAGCTATGCTGTGACCTGCTGCTATTTCAGACCTATGTGTGCATAACAATGTTTTCTTTTGCTTTAGATCTCTTAAAATTATGGCTGGTGTTGTGGCTATGGCATCTGTCATTGAGGATTTTGACACGCAGGTATTTTTATGATGACGGTTGTTAAGCTGTTACATCATTTTTCTTCATTTACTTGCATTCTCATGTTTGATTAACTTTGTCACCCATCTTACAGCCTTGCAAGAAATCCCGCAAAGATGGTGGCAGTCCTGTTGTTAAGACAATCACCAACTATTTCTCTCCAGTGGCCAAGCCTGCGGAGAAACCCTTCTCTCCTCCTCGGTCAAACAACATCATGGACTACTTTAGCAGGAGACCTCCGTCCTCCAAAGAAAAGACCAGCCCGTCAGAACAGTCTAAAGAGAACTGTCAGGAATCTCAGTCTACCGAAAAACACACAGGCTCAGAGGCAGCAGTGAAACAACCATCTCAGAAACGGGGTAGAAAGGCCATCAAAGCTGCTAGAAGACTTGTGGAGGCTGGAAATGTTTGCTCGACAGGGGAGGTGGACTGCGAGATTGTAGATGAACCACAGCAGCACAAAGACTCATCAGCGGAGGTGACCAGTAGCTGTGGGGTGCTTGGTAGTGATACAGCAGCTCTGTTGGCCCAGCTTAGTGCTGAGGCTTCTGTCACTGCTGAGACATTAGAGAGAAGTGTCAATGTTGAACAGACTGATAAAGATGAACATCATGAAAATGGTTCCAAACTTAAACCAGAGCTGAAGAGCATTCCCTCATCCCCACTTGTACCTTTGAGAGAAAAGGCAAAACCGGTCAAAACTGGAGCACGGAATTCCAAGAAGAAGCATCAACAGGAGGCAAAGCAACCAGAACCAGAGGAGGAAGAGGCAGAGACCTCTCTGTGTGAGGTAAACATGGAGATTAATGAAGATCAGGACTTACAGTCAAGAAACAGCACTGTCACAATATCCTTTGAGGATTTTGTGCGAAGTCAGAGTCAGGACAAAGATGGAGAGGGCAAGGACAAGGAAAGTAAAATCACAACAGATGCAGAGGAAATGAACAATGATCAGTGGAAAAACGTGGGGTCTGGGGAGCCATTACTCCAAATCTCACCCCGAACTGTCACCATCCAGGCTCAGGTGCATACAGTGTCACCCAAACAGGAAGCAGTCAAGGCTGTTGGAAAGTTAGCTTCTATCTTTAGCAAGAGAAAGGGGCCAGCGAGCCCTGCAGAAGCAGTATCATCTCCTCAGACAGAAGCTGAACATCTTCCATCTACCTTGCTGACTGTCAAAAGGAAATCCAATGTGGTTCTTCAAGAGGAGGACCTAGAGCTGGCTGTGCTTGAGAGTGAATCCACGCCAAAGTGCAGCGTGGTGGAGAGGAAGCAGTTCATGGCTGCCTTTAAACAGCCCAGCCTGGATGGGTCTAAAACCAAACCTGGGAAGAGTCAGGGCAAGCAGAAGCAGCCCGGAGAGGCTGCTGCAGACAAAGTTGCTGAGGAGGACAGCGTCAACCCTCAGACTGTTGAGCAGGTCCCTGCTGCCTCTCAGGAAAACAATGTAGTTAAAAAGAAACCATCAAGAAAAGGCAGGAAGAAAGCTAAGGAAGAAAAGGAGGCTGTTGCTGCTGCTCCTGTGGAAGAAGCGGCGGTCATGATCGTTGATGATAAAGAAGAGGAGCCTGCCATCCCACCTGTGAGGAGGTCCAGAAGAGAGGTCAGGCAAGCAACCAAATCCTCTACAACATCTCCTATAAGAAAAACTAGAAAACAAAAGGAGTCCAAGGATGCTACTGCTGCAGCTGCTTCACCTGACTGCCCTGCACAGATGTCCACCCCAAAAACACGGAAGTCCAAGCACGGAGTCTTTGTAGCAGAGATAGTGTGTGAGCCTGACACAAAAGAAAGTCCAATCAGGTAACACATGCTCATAGTTATGATTTAATACAAAGTTGTGTGCTTTTGAAATCTTTTTGGAGGTTAGGAAAGTTATAATGTTTAGATTGCACCACAACTGTTTTAGTAGTTTTTAATTCAACAGTATGTGGGATTGAAATTGTAGAACAAAGAGAATAATATCTTTATTTATGTAGCACCTCTCAAAACACAGTTACAAAGTGCTTTTCAAATAAAAACACAACAAACATCCTCCTTTTAAAATGATCATGTCAACACCTCCAAAACAGAAACTGAAGCTTAGAACATTAATGTAGGTTTATTTGTTATTAGACTGCTGTGGCCATAGTTATAGTATGTTTCCCTAATTAACTGGCAAATGAAAATATCTTTTGATTTATTTTTGTGTTAAATAAATGTTTCTTTCAGGATCAAATTCACCAGGATCCATAGAAATGTTTCCATGTCAAAGGCTGAAAGTGGAAGTGGCATTAACACGCCTGTGGCGACTAAAGTGAGTATGATGGTTTTTTTGTGAAGTAATGAACTTGGCAAAGAAAAATGTGCATATGCAAACATTGTCATAACTATAGACAGAGGATGTAAAATATTATAATAATAATAATATTTATCTTTTTCAGACATCAAAAAAAAGGAAGCAGGCAAAGAAGTTGTTGGAAAAAGCCAAAGCGTTACAACAGAGTAAAAAAACTGCAGTTGAGGAGAAGAGCACGCTAAGGCGTTCGTCGCGGAATGAGGCGTCCTTCAAGAAGAGTTACTGTGAAAATGAGGTACAGTAAAACAAAGGACATAAAATTTCTGCGTTGTAGTTTTTTTAGTGATATAGTTTTGACATGAGGTTTTATCAGTGGGGTGAACATCTGCTCAGGCAGCGCTGTGATCTGTGTCCTCTGTTAATAAACACAGGAGACCTTTCTTGCCCTGTCGTCATTCTGATGAGCACTACCTTTTACTGACTTGTCTCGAGAAACATTAGGCATTAGTCATTTTTGCATTCACCAAATAGTTTTCTGAAACGATCGTGATGTGGTTTGTTTTGTCAGGATTCTATCATCTGCCTGGAGGAGGACAAGACCGCCACTCGTCAGGCGGCACTAGAAAAGAATAAAGCCCGGAAACATTTGCGAAGTCTGAATGATGTACTTGGCAAAGCCACACCAGCTGGCAAAGAGACCAAGGCTGTCCCAGGTAGTTTTCCCACTCCAAATCAAAATGTAATATTTTATATTTTTGGTTATCTGTATAAATATAATGTAATGGTGCTGTGTTTTCTCTCATAGCCTGTAAAGGGGCCTCACTGGGCCAAGAGAGGAATGCTCGGAAGGTGTCCGGAGTGATTTCAATCTTTGATGAGAGCAGTCGAGAGGGCTCTGAAAACTCCCAGGACGATGAGCAGTTCAGGGCTCGTAGAGAGTTTTTGAAAAGTGGCCTCCCAGAGTCCTTCAGGAAGCAGATAGCCAAGACTGCTGCCACCAAAGAGGCATACTCTGTCTCCTGTTCCTCCTTCCAGCCAGTCATACACATGATGCAACCACCAAAGGGTAGGTGGTTCCTTTTTATATTAACACATGTGGTCATCTTAATCTTTATGGTTATTTAAGTGTGTTTCTTAGCTCTGAAGGTCTGGTAGGTGCAGATAAAGCCACATATCAGGGTTAAACTTTTTGTTTTGTATTTACAGATTGCCCTCTTTGGAATCTACCATGGCCTGAATCACTGTTACTGTCTCAACTGAAACTGCTTCAGAGCCGAACATCCTCCTTTCCATC